AGGGTATCTCAGGAGGAACTAGCAAGCTCAGAAAAGGAAGTGACAAGCCGGATCAGAGTGAGAAGAAACAGGAGAAAGGCAACTCCTCCAATACAATCCGACTAAAAATTGTTTCTGGTGTCACAACTACGACCACATAGCTTTCAACGGTCCCATGAGATGGGTAATCACCCTTACAGATCAGGGCGCCGTGGAGGAAGTTGGCAATGAGGAAAACTGAGAACTAGACTGAGGAATGTATGCCGCCTCATCATTAATGGAGGGAGTAGCAAGAATGCGATGCCTACATAGCTGGTTGATAAATTGGGCCCTCTTGACTCAGAGATATTTCCAACCATATTCATTGACATGGCTAAAGAAGGAGAATCAGGTCATCATCGACTGAAGATGCATCGTAGAATTTTTTATTGGGGATTAGCTGCATGATCAGGTATGATGCGACGTGGTCCCAACGATGCTTGCCACCTATTGTTGCGGAGACCGTGGTAGTTTGACCGAAGGACTCAACACGACGGATTTAGAAACACACATTTCTTCACCAAGGATGTGAATCGCATTATCCGACTTCCTTTGGCTGAGACCGAGATCACAGGAGCTCTCACTAGTGGAGCAACTTTGGTGGGACCAGTGATGGTGACGTCAGAGGATGCTGAGATTGTGACACCCGCTCTGAACATGGGACAGGCATGACAGGGAGCATTTTAGGATATTATGGTCGATACCTTACCATCAGTGCTCATCGTGTGAGAAGGTCCATGTTACCCCCACTTTAGATTCGGTTACGCCAACCGTGGGAGCATTAAGCAACAGAGACATGACACAGTTCATTTCAGTAGTAGACTCCCAGAAGATTGGACTGATGTGGATGTTTGCTTATAAGTTGGGAAGGACCCTTAGGTACCTTGGAGCATGGTGCAGTCCCCAATGAGATCCAGGTGCTACTGGGTTTAAAGACGAAGAACTGGAAGCTTTTACGAATGAAGTTGAAGCTCCCACAACCTTGGGAGACTGACGTAGGGCTAAGGCCAGCCCACTGAACCAGTTGACAGATGGACTGAACTAACCCATCTGAGAAGACCGATCCCGATCCCAACTTCTACGAGACCAAGCTACAATTGGAAGGGGCAGTAATGACGCCATCCCAATTCCTCTCTTCCTTTTCTATCTTTTCTCATTTTTTTTCTTGCATCCCGCCTGAGGGGAATCTAGTTATTTGCTTGTTGCTAGAATTAAGGTTAGGTTATGTTTGATTACTTTTTTCAGATTCTGTTTGGGTTCTCCTCTTCCCTTACTAGGGCTGTATCCGACGACGGATGATACTTCGATTGTATCCTTCTTCGAAGCGGTGTCCCCTATCTCCCTCCATACCATTTCTCCTTCACCTCCCTTAACCGCAGGCCATCCCATCTTCTCCCAGATATCCTGCCACGCCGCCACAGCATTGCTGCCCAGCCCTCCCCGACCACCTATCAGCACCGTGTCATCTCTTCCCCTGCAGCAACCATTGCTTCCCAGCTCTCTCGGCCACCTACCAGCACCCCGCCATCCCATCCCCTGCAACAAGCATTGATGTCCAGCCCTCCAGGCCTCCAAGCAGCACCCTAACAACCTTCCTTGCAGTCCTAGCAGCCATCCATCCTCTTCCCAAACCCCACCATCAGCCTCCTATCCCTTTCCCCTCATACCCAGTCGCCGGTCACCTTCACCCTCAACTCCCCCCTACCATTATTACTCCTCCACCACCTCGGCGACGCCACCACCACGCTTTGGTCTTCTCTTCTGACCCTAGTTGGGAACTGTTGTTGTTGCATTTTATTTCAGTTTCGAGTCATGTTACGTAACCTTAAATCAGTTGATAAATGAAATTCCTTCCGCTTTTACTGTTTTGAACTAGTTTCGGTATCACAAACTTTATCAATAGCAATATTGCAAACATTCAAAGAATAGTGCCCATTCTCAATATAGGAAACAATATATCATGTTTTATTTTCAAAAAACCATAAAAATTAGAGTTCCAAATAATTTTTTTTTTTTTTTAAGTTTGTTTATCTCTACATTTGCATCTTGCATCTCAAATGAATATAAGCTTAATATTTTTATGAATTCTATCTAGTTTTAAAATAAATCAACTTAGTTTGTTCAATTGATATTCATCAATTCTATATGAGCATAATTATTGGAATTTGTGTAGAGTAATTCATTAATTATCACATGCAAGTTTGTTGCGACAGTGCATGAGGTATCTTTGATATGTTTTTTTGTGCGATTGATATATTGTCATCATTTATTATGTCTTCCAGCACAAATTTATATTATTTTCTAAAAATTGTGTAAATAATACATTGGATGTGAATCTTGAAAGAGGGGATGACAAAGGAGAACAATACGAAGTATTGATGATGATTTATGAAAGAAAATTTAATCAAATTAAAATATGTTTCATACTAGAATTTTGTATGATATTTTAAAGCATTTATATTAATATATTGTACGACTTCATGTTGTCTCAAATTTATTTTAATTAATATATTAAGTACTTTTGTGGCATATCTTTTAGAGTTTAGAAATCCATCACTTTATCATCTGGTTTAAATTCCACATCTCATATATATTTTTAGTAGACTTATGTTTATCATAATTAATAATATTTTTTTGACAATGCTTTTATGCAAATCTATGCTGCTAGTAAAAGTATCAAAACTTTTACATGTTCCTTAATGTTGGCACTATATATAATTCCAATAAAGGTAGATGATGGATGGTAGTTGAAATTGAAATTCTTAATCAAATCTTCTCCAATAAAAGACAAATTACACAAATATGGCATTTTAATCACATTTCGTCTCTAATTGCTTTAGTTATGGATGCTCTTACCGGGCATATACATGAGGATTTACCTTGGTGTATACTTTTTGTTGATGAAATCCTTCTTGTGGATAAGACTAGAGGAGTTCAGTAAAAACTTGAATTATGGAGATCTTCATTGGAGTCTAAATACCTTCGTTTGAGTAGATCTAAAGCTGAATATATGGAATGTAATTTTAGTAGTAGTAGCTCTAGTGGAAGAGTTGTAACTATGAGCGATGAAATCATTAAAATGTGTAAACATTTTAAATATCTCGGGTCTGTTATTCAAAGTGATGGTGATATAGATGTGGATGGTAGGTTGGTTGGTTGAAGTGGAGGAATGCATTTGGCCTATTATGTGATAGAAAAGTATCACTTAGACTTAAAGGAAAATTTTATAAGATGATGGTGAGACTTGGAATGCTTTATGATGCAGAATGTTGGCCTTTAAAAGAGAAGCATAAAACAAAGTTAAGTGTTGTTGAGATGAGAATGCTTAGGTGGATAAGTGACTACACTTAGAGAAAAAATGCAAAATGAATCTATCAGTGAAAGGGTTGGTGTAGCTCTAGTTGTAGGCAAGGTTAGAGAGAGTTGTTTTCAATGGTCTGGTCACATCAAACCTCGACCATCTGATGATCCAATTAGGAGATTAGATATTTTAGATTCAATTTATGTTAAAAAAGGCAGAAGTAGACCTAAAAGGACTTGGGCATAGTGTATAAAAAATAATCTTAATCTATTATAATTAAATGAAAAGTTGAACTCAATAGGACACAATGGAGGAAAATGATTCATGTATCCGACCCCACTTAGTGGGATAGAAGCTTGTTGTTGTTGTTTTTGTAGTCTAAATATTACTCAATGTTCAACCAAGTTGATGGAGATTTGAATTTCATATTTACTTGAAGGCAGTTATCATGAATATGCCCGTTGAAATGTGCACAAAGTTCTATTTTCTCCATAATTTTTTTTATCATTTTGTAAATCAATAAACTAAAAACCCAAAACAAAATCAATAATATTCTTATTTTATGATCATTGAGATAATATCATGAAATACATTATTAATTAACTCACTTCATTCAAATACTTATACATATATTATTTGTTATGTTTTAAAATCAACGGTGCATTGAAATTTTATTTCATTATTGATCTTATCCTCAATTTTTGGTTCTACTTCAGAAATGCTCTCAGATTTAATTTTAGATTTAAGTTTTAGCTTTTGCTCAACTTTAGAATCAGGAGGCAAAAACTTAGTCTCTGGCTTGAATTCAAATTTAATAAGATCGAATGAAACTTTTTTCTGTTAATACATTCACAATTATCGATCAATTCAGAGTTGTATTCTTCATGTTGTCCTAATTATCATAATTTATAACTCTCTTCTTTTGATTGAATATCGCTTTAAGATAGTTATTTTTGTCTTCAAATATATATTTCTTGACTTATTTTTTTTCTTGCTTATATCAATTTCTCAGGATAAATTAATCATCATGTTTTGCCTGTTTAATGTTTTCCTATCAGAAACAGCAAAAGCTGTGCTTGTCAACTCAAACAGATCAGCTTACTTTTCCAGTTTAATGTACTTTACTGAATCCGTGTAATTTTCCGGAGCACGAAAAAAATTCTCAAATGAATATTCAGGGATGAAATAGCATGATCTATGAGCAGTCCTGTCAGCCCGTTAGGCTATAAAATGGACAAAAAATTAACTTTTTGCACGAAAAACTCTCTTTATAGTTTTATGCTGTAGAATATAGTGGTTCTTCGTATGTGCCGATCTTCATCAATATTTTAAACCTTAAGATATAATTTTGATATTTCTAAAACCCCATAGGATTGATTGGCCTTAACTGGTTGACCTGTAAACTGAACCAGCATGCCCACCTCAAACCCAATGCAATCATCGGAAGATAGCTGGCCATGCAAAGCTAACAATTATCCAACTCGTGCTATCTATCTGGGCCATTAATTATTATAACAGTGACGGATATGGCCCTGTTATTTTAAATTCAATCAGTTCATATGGAAGTTTTACTGTATTTGTTATTCAGTTATGTGCTTGAATCTGATAAGAATAAGCTGGAGTTGTATTCTGCAAGCTTAGTTTGAGTTTATGTTGAAGCTTATTTTTTTGCTGGAAATAGGTGGGACTTGAAGGCAGCGCCAATGGGCAATGGTGGCTGGATACTATTGGTAGAACCTTAGATGAGGGAACATCTTTTGAACGTGTTGGCTCCAGGCAGCTAGCAGGGTTGCTTATTGGTGCATGGTACTTGCTTCTGCTTTGATTTGTTTTATTTTAGTTTAGCATTTTCTTTCATTGCTTCTATATTTTGTTCAGTACTTGCTTAACATTTGAAATATTCCTTACTGCTCATTTATGCTCTTAAAAGGGCCAGAAAGAATCTTCGGTCAAATGTTGGTGATGTTGACGCTGCAGCTGTAGCATGTGGATTTGGAAGAGCAATTGGCAACAAGGTATACTTAACTAGCAACATTGCTGTCGTTTCCATTTCTACTTATTCATTTTATTGGAGGAAGATAAGATTTTATTATTCAGGGGATGGCATTTAGAATATTTAAATGGCTACCAGATAGTAATTTTGACAACTGCACGATTTGAATTTTCCAATTTATTGTTGTACTCGTAATCCACTCAGCACAATTTTATCCATGAAAATCATATTAGAGTGTTTAAAAGAACTTAAACAACCCTATATTGTATTTATCAAATTGAGCAAAATCTAACAATTACATTCGTTAAAGGCTGGAATGGATAGCTATGATGCAAGAGGGTGAATTATGGAAGAGGGTGAATTACTCACATGTGCTCCAATATACAATTACCAAATGTTTACATGCTTAATGGCATAACGATTGCATATGAACAAGTCATGATATATACATGTATCAAATTATGGACATTTCATAAAAAAATCTACAAGTGTTTAACTATCCAAATAAATATCCAAGGTATAAAAGATTTGCTAATCCTTGTTATTTTCATTCAGCATAACTATAGGATACAAAGTTTTGCATATATGTAATTTCTGGATATATTATTATATGGCCTTGATTAAAATTATTATTCATAGAAACATTGAAATTCTAGAAATTTATCATTCCATCTGATAATAAATTAAAGTGTCTAATACTATGCTATGCATCTATCATACATAAATAGCTAACTATGGTGCTCTACATTGGCTGTATACAAATCTTAGACTTTCTTGTGTAACGGTCATCAATTAATGGGGCGAGTTATATTAATAAATATAACTTGGTGGATATATCACAATTCTAAAAAATAGTAAACCCAGTAGGAGAAAATGAAATATACATATTTAACATTGAATATGTTTCAAATTTATATATAAATTCGAGATTTGACTAAGACAATCATTAGCATGGCATAACAATAGAGTGATCATAACAGTTGTCATAACATTTGAAGTCATAAGCATAATCATAAATTTGATTGTAAACATGGTTATTATTGTGATCATTGCATTGAGTGGAATAACTTTTGGATTATAAGATATAGTTCTCTACAAGAGGAATAATTCTTTCTTGATTATATGAATCACATGTAGAGTACATATATATATATAGGGAAAATAATCTCTCTTAATTTACAAAATTACAAAATATATCTAACCAAAATTAGGAAATGAAATAATTTTGAAAAAAAAAAAAAAAGAATTAGAAGGGAATAAGTAAATCAAGGGTTTCTTAATTTGTCCCAATCAAAAGATCAGATTTTTACATTGCCCCTCAAATTGAGTCGTAGATGTTGTAGAAATCAAACTTGATATTGAACTCTAGGAAGGCGCTTAATCGAAGAGTTTTGGTGAAGACATCAACAACTTTTTGGTGTGTCGGGATGTTAGTTGAACTCTGAAAGGCTCCCTCAAACTCCACTAACTTTGAAGTTCCCTAAAAGGTTCTGAAAATATATAAATGACCGCTGCTAAGGTTGCTAAGGTTGCTTGAAAATTTCAAGATTCCACTGCAAGGTTTATATCACTTATTATTTTTTTAATCACTTCTATGGCGGTAATGGCAATGCTCCATCTCTTGAAGCATTTTGTGTAATTTTTTATGGAGCCTCTTGCCGATTCCGTTGTTTCTTTCTCAAGAGATGCATGCTTTTGTTTTCAGGGAGCTGTTGGGTTGAGAATGAGGGTCTTTGATCGAGTTTTTTGCTTTGTGAATTGTCATTTTGCTGCTCACTTGGAAGCTGTCAGTAAGAGGAATGCAGATTTTGATCATGTTTATAGAACTTTATCCTTCACCCGGCCTTTTGTCGGACCAAACCCAGGCTCAGGTTGGGAATTTTTTCCATATTAACATAAAGGATGATTTACATACTTACCACTCAATTCCTATCTATTTGCATATCTAACACCGAAGCTTTGATTTTTACATGCATGCCACCTTAACTATGCAAGAAAAGGTGAATATCACTTCTTAAAAGTTAAAATGGTAGTACTTTTTATGTGATATGAAAGATTTGGGTGGAACTAATGTAAAAGGAAAAATTGTGTTAGATATGTAAATACATAGCAATTGGGTGGTATGTATGTACATGTCCCCATACAAATTAGCTGCAATAATACATACATACATGCATGCATGGTAAAGTACTGATGATTTCATATATATTTTCCTCTTTTGTTCAGCTGGTGCTACATCTGTTCAAGTGCATCGGGGTGGATATGTAAGTAGTTTCTTCTGCTGGATCTGAATTTTGATTTCTTATAATCTATTTACTGCTTATGGCTAAAGGTAATTACCATCATATGAATTGGCAATGGCAGTCAACTGCTTCTCAATCAGATGAAAAACCTGAGTTGTCCGATGCAGATATGGTTGTATTTATGGGTGATTTCAATTATCGTCTATTCGGCCTCTCTTATGACGAGGCAAGAGATATGGTCTCTCAAAGATGTTTTGACTGGCTTAGAGATAAGGATCAGCTTCGCGCAGAAATGAAGGCGGGCAAGGTTTTTCAAGGAATGCGGGAGGGTCAGATAAAATTTCCGCCCACCTACAAGTTTGAAAAGCACCAGCCTGGTCTATCAGGTTGGGAAATAAATCTTGTATAATGAACTCACATGTGCTGCTATGTTCTCTGCATCATTTTTATGCTGGAAAATTTACATACATACCACTAGATTTCTATGTATTTACATATCTCACAGTTAAACTTCAATGTTTACATACATGCCACCTTATCTACACATGAAAAGGGGGATTTCACTTTTTAAAAGTTAAAATGGTGGTATTTGTGATGTGTTGTGAGAGATTTGGGTGGTAGAAATATAAAAAGTGAAGTTTAGCTGTTAGATATGTAAATTCATAAGAATTGGGTGGTATGTATGAAAATGTTCCTTTTATGTTTCTATAAGCATTAATGCTACAATTCTCACTTCTTTTTCTTTGAAGCATATGATTCTAGTGAGAAAAAGCGTATTCCTGCATGGTGTGATAGAATACTATATCGCGACAATCGTTCCATTTCAGTAGCTGAATGCTCATTGGAATGCCCTGTTGTTTCATCAATTGCACTGTAAGTGTCTCATTTAATTATTGGAAGATTTGCATACATACTACTCAATTCCTATGTATTAACATATGTAACACCTGAACTTCAATTTTTACATATATGCAATCCTACGTTGCATGGAAAGATGTATTTCACTTTTTAAAAGTTAAAAAAGTGATATTTTTATGTGATAGGAAATAATTAGGTGATATAAATGTAAAAAGTAGAGTTTAGGTGTTAGATATATAAATACATAGGAACTGGGTGGTATGTTTGAAAATGCCCCTTGATTTTTTTTTAGTTAAGATTGTAATCTACATCTTATAGCTCACTAGATATTGGGGATTGTTTTTCCAGTTATGATGGTTGTATGGATGTGACGGACAGCGATCACAAACCTGTTAGATGTATTTTCAGTATTGAAATTGCACGTGTTGACAGAAGAGTAAAAAGGCAAGAGTTTGGAGAAATACTTCAATCACATCAGAAAATTAGTTTTTTGTTGAAGGAATGTAGCATTATTCCAGAAACAGTTGTAAGCACAAACAACATCATCTTGCAAAACCAGGATACTTCCATTCTCCGTATTACTAATAAATGTACCAAGCGCAAGGCTAGTTTTGAAATCATCTGCAGAGGCCAGTCTACGATGAGTGATGATGGAAGTCCATATAAACTTTGTACAAAGGGCTCTTTTGGCTTTCCTAACTGGTTACAGGTACGTGCACATGTAATTTGCTGTAGAACATTTACTTATTTTCGCAATTATTTTATTTTTTTTATAAACCCAGACATTATTTACAGGACTCGGTTAATTTTTAGAAGTACCGCCAAAATCAAATATATTTACATTTTAACTACAATTTGAGCCTCCTCACAAGGATTTTACTGCCAATTTGTGCATATTAAGATGGAACAGCGAAGTAAATTAAATTTTTTGGAAAGATGGAAAGAAAAACAGATAGTTTACAGCAGCAATTATTGCTTTTGGATCAAAATAAAATTACATAATGCAAATTATTAAGCAACAACTTCACCAATTTGTGATCCGCTCAAACAATTTTTGTGCAAGGAAATAGGCTTGTGAGCTTGGGTTTTTGGATTTTTTCTGTTCAGTAGGTATGAACTAAATAAATACACCACTGAAAATGGTTGTCGGACTTGAGCTATACTGTTCTAACTTGAACACTCTTGGAGGAGATATTTTTGTTTGCTATATGAAGCTTGTTGCTCATGCTTTTCTTTTTTCTTCTAAGGTTGCGTATAAGCTGTCAGAAGAACTTTTTTGCATGGAATTGATTTTATTTTGAATTTCACAACCTGTTTAACAACAGTAACAAAAACAACAAATTGTTTAAATTAATTTTTAATTGGAGAGTGAAACTTGTTGATTTTGTTCTTTTAAAACTTAATTGTAGTTTCCCAGTCAAGATATTGAAGCTTCGAACTTCTCGTATTAGTGACGAATTTCATTGGTAATCACACTCAGAGTGACCTACCGCCATCATATGCTTATTTACCATGGTCACCCTCTTATGATAAAAGCTCATACCTTTATCACTTATTAGATATATTTCTTATTTTTTATTTCAAGCCAATTATTGACAATTGATCATAAAAGAATATAAAAACAGGTGGTAAAGGAGACCCAAAACCCAATGAGCGGGCACTATATTTCATTTTAGGCGCTTGCCCAAAGTACAGTGAGATTCGAAGTAAAGAACAATCATATTCTTAATAAACATATTTTAGGAACGCTTTAGGGTATCACATTAAATAGTTTTAAGAAATTAAATTTTATTGTATTGAAATTTCCAACATCTTGCTTCATGAATTGTCTTAAATGAAATACCAAGCGGACATTTAAACAACTAAAAATGTCAGACCACCTGAAGTTTGTAGCATGTATAGTATAATGATAATATAATCTTAAGCTACTACTATTTGTTCCATCTCAATTTTCCTCCATATTTTTCTCCTTCTCCATAACTGCATTCGATGTAAATTGTTTCTATCCGCGAGTCTTTATTTCTAGAAATCCTATGGTTTCTGACACAACCACTATTAAATTGTCATAAAAAATAACTAATCCATTTCCAATCGCTCAAGGAAAGGCGCTCTTCTAGACAATGCCTTATAATAGCATTTGTTAGGGAGGTGGTAGGCACTCTGGCTTCACCTCTCCTCTTCTGGGAGCATTAATTAAAACATTGTGCTCATCTTTCAATTTCTGCTTAGTTTGCTCGACCTTTAAAAGATTTAGTTGCATATCGCTTAATTCCTATGTATTTACATATCTAATACTTAAACTTCAATTTTTACATACATACACCTTGCCTATGGATTAAAAGGTTTATTTCACTTTTATAACTTAAAATCGGTGGTATTTTTGATGTAATACGAATGATTATGATGATATAAATGTAAAAAAAGCAAAATTTATATGTTAGATGTGTAAATACATAGGAATTGTGTGGTATTTTTATATGTTAAATGCCCTGGAATGAAAAAAATAACACACATCTTCCTACAAAAATGCAGTTTTCGTGATTTTTCCCTGTTCTTGACCCTAGGTTGTCATTAATAACCTGTTTTTCTATCATTTACTCTTTTTTTTTCTTTCCCGTAACATCAGGTCCAACCTGCTGCTGGAATAATCAACGCCGGCCAAACCATGGAAGTGACGGTCAACTACGAGGACTTCTGCACGCAAGAAGAATTTGTTGATGGAATCCCCCAGAATTGGTGGTGCGAGGACACAAGAGACAAGGAGGTATTGCTGGCAGTGAAAGTGAGAGGCAGCTATTCAACAGAGACAACATTCCACTGTGTCCATGTTCGCCATTGTAATCAAAGCAAGACATCATGTACTGATACGACAGTGAGTTCCAGAAGATTTCAGGCAAACCCCCAACAGAACTACACCAATTCTTCTAATATTTGCCATATGCGTTACTCGTGAAGGATAAAAAAGAGGTCTCTGCCTCTGCGTTTTGGAACCCTGTCCAGAAACTCTCAAGACTTGGAGGTATTCTTTTCTGTACATAAGCCATCACCGGAGAAACCCAATTGTACACCACTAGGAAAGCAGGAAAATGAAAATTATAGAAGTAAAGGGATCAACAAAGTTGGATAATGTTTTTTTTTCTTTTTTTGGTAGTCTATTTTTTGGAGTTTTGAGTCATTTGGTTATCAAATGCCGACATATTCGTTATTTTATTTTATTTTTGTTTGGATTTTTTTTAAAAGGAAATAGGCGAAGTTGGCCTCATATTCTGCTGCTGGTTTTATTGTGTTCTTTCTCCGGCATCCAACTTCAAAATTCTCTTGTTAACTGAAGAACTTTGTTTTGTTACAAAGTCGTTTTTCTAACGGATTGATTTCGGATGACTTGTATTTATTTCTTGTTATTCTAATAAAGCTTTTGCTAGGTTAATTGAAATTGAATTGGAGTTAGTATTTTTCATGGTGGAAGGATGGAATGGCCTTTGCGTTTCCTGAGTATTAGACATAATAAATGATCTGACACAAAAGAAATCCCTAATTCAAAATGAAAAAGATTTGGGGCCGCTTGATGGGAAAAAAATATTACATACAAACTGGATGGCGGAATTCAATGGTAGGGCGTTCTTAGTCAAGTGTGCCTCATTGCTTTTAACACTGACCAATAATTATGTAATATGGTATGATTCACTTGACACTTGACATCCCACCATTGGACTCTGGATGCAAAGAAGCCTGGATGTAACATTTTCACACTTAGGGCAGTGTAAGAGACCAAAAAAAAAAAAAAAAAAAGAGAGATCATGGTCTTGTAAATCTTAAAAAGTAACAACTTGGCTATTTAATTAATTTTTAACTTATTCTTTAATATAAAAACTCGTAAAATTATAATTCTTTGTTATTTTTTGAATTGTCGCATCCAAATTATCATGTTCATTTCCAATCAGTCTGGCACTATCCCACATAAAATTTATTCTTGTTGGGTCTGAAATTCTTACCCTGATAACTGAGAAGGGTTCACAATGTTTATACTTTTGTCTAATTATATTTGGGTCAGACCCATAAAATCAAATTGAGATCTCTAGTTTGACCGTCTAAATGGTTTCAATTAAGAGAATTTCAATTATAAATAAGATTACATAATATTGTCAAATTTTGACTCAAATTAAGCCCTTTCTTGTCATTGGAGCAATTCAAAGAAACTATACTTTTTTTTTTTTACCATGATTTTATTGAAATGAAGTATCTATTTTTTTGGAATCAGTTCTTGATTGAGTTTCAAACTTTAGTATTTGACGTGTTGACACATGAAAGTGCATCAGTCTATATTTTGTCAAATAAATTAAATTTATTGTTAACATATTAATTGAGACCATTTTGGCTAGATATGTACATCAAAAGCCATTTAGTGAACTCCCGCGAATTTTGCAGCCTCATCGATCATACGGTGTGTGTATATATATATATATATATATAAGCGTGGCATACTTAGATCAATTGGTCTGACATTTGCTTATCAGTTGTAAGTCCCCTCTGGTCTGGGATTCAATTCCTCCGAGTGTAAGGTGCGATAATCGAATTCTTAAGCGCATGAGGATGGTCGGGATTTTTATAATCTCTATTTAAATAGCCACCACTCTTCACACCAATACAGTCCAATAAACCTACATAGTTCACCCAAAAAAAAAAAATAATAATAATAAGCACATGCCCAGCCAGAAGTAGAAAACATTACACTTCAACACATCACACAAACAACAGGAGGTTCCGCATCAGCATTTAGTGGGTGGCGGAAGATTGCACTTGGCCGGAAGCTGCATGGCAAGCTCAGGATTAATCCCAAAGTATTGAAGCGTGCCCGAATTCTTGTAGCCGCAGAGACAGCTCAAGTCCGCATGCGACAGTGCCGCACAACAAGCGTCCGACGGATCCGGCGCCGTCTTTTGGGCCGAAGAGCCCGAAATGGCCGGCCGGCATGCCGTCAGCCCATCCCTATCCATATTACAGATCTTCCAACTATCTGCCGCCGCCACCACCACCAACATAATGGCGGCCTGCCACTAGAAGTACGAGAGCCGGTGCCGGAAAACTTGACCTGTTCTTCTTCTCCATTGATCTCTGCAGAGCTTATCGTGTAATGTGTGAAGGAGGATGGTTTTCATGAGCTGTTATATATAGAAAAGAAAAGTATTTACTTGACATTGCATTTCACCGTATTTTTGATGGAAAGCAAAAATATGCTCCAATGGCTCTAAAAAAATATTACGTAGTTGTTAAGTATGTGGGGATGATGGATGAATCAAAAGAATACGTAACATCTAAGTGAAATTATGATGATATGAGCATCTCATTTGTCATTGTCTGCACATAATTATAAAGTATAAAATATTTTCATCAAAGTAAATGAATAATTTGATTGAAATTGTAATTATATATATATATATACATACTACTCATCAAGTATGTATATATATATATAGACACACACACACACACATATATTAAGTTCTATTTTAAAAAAATCTAATTGACTACAAGACTACAAAGATTTATAATCAATTAAAATATTGACGAAGAAAATAGAATAAAAATTACTAAATTAGATTCAAATGATGTTTTAATATAAATAATAATTTTATATATATATATATATATCTTGGTTGATATGCGTGTGTACAGTGGTCTATTGACAGAGCAGTCTCTTTGAAAGTCGTAAGTCTCATGTCATGAGTTTGAATACCCCCGTGTGTAAGGTATAATACTTGAATATTTAGCATACCTAGGGACGACCGGGGCTCATCTAATAGCCTTCGATATATAGTTTGATATAAGAGTACGTGGGATAAATTGAAAGCCCGTGAGGGTGGTTTTGTCAATATGCGGAGGTGGGGTTGTTCACGGGAGGCAATATTGGTGCTTGTCGTTGCACGTGAATTCATTGTATTTTGGTCTTTGTTAGCTGCTTTGTATCGATTTGCAGGGATTTGTGGGGTTTTAATTAATCAATTTGTTTGTTGTTTAGCTACAGCTACCACTCAGCCTAGCTTCCTCACAACTGGCTTAGGAAAATAATAAAGATGAAGTAATTGGGACTTGTAAATTAATGTTTGGTGCATATAGTTTTATTATTTTGTTAATGATAAGTTGCTAGCTCAAAAGAGAACTATAAAGTTTCACGTGCATTACTGCATGATGCAATGATATTTGTTTATAATTTCTTGCTTTTTGTTTAGGAACTCTAAAGGTTAATTAGGAATGGGCAAGTATTGTAGTTGAATATTGTAGTTGACAAGATTTGTATGTACTTGAAAATTTTGATTGGGAAATGTAATTGACTCATCTATGGTTGGATTGAGTTCAACAAATGACCTCAAGTAAGTGTTTTGTTGTGAACGTTCTTGTCGAGTATGGTGGGTGATCGCTTGACTCGCGATCATCTTAAATTTGCAGTATAAATGTAACAAATTTAGAGATATAAATACATTATGTGAGAGAGATAATGTTAAAAAATCTTGAAAGGACTTTGATACTTCACCCAAGAACATACTCTTTTAATAAGTGGGTTGAGAATTCATACTCAAATTCAAGCTTTGATTAAACTTGGTAGAAACAACTCAATTAATATTCCTTTTGTTTAATGGCCCTTTGTCAAATTAGAACAAAAAAATAATTAAGTAGGTAATAAATTAGCTTGAATGTATATCACATTGGTTGGAAATACAATAAATAATGTGAATATACTTGGCTGGAGTGCTCACCCGACCTACTTGAAGAAAGAAAATAACAAATAAATATATCAAAAGATATTCTACTGGTAAAGATAAATCTTTATTAAATTATAAACGAAATGATTGATATAAATTTTGCGTTCTTTTGCGAACTTTTAGAAGATTTTTTTTTCTTTTTTTAGTTATTATTTTGTGAAAAATTTTCTATAGCCAAATCATTTACTAATGAAATTTTTAACTTAGAGTTGATGCCTTTTTCTTTGCCTAAAAATGGAACCCACACTATTTTCCACATCATTTAACTCCCTTTCATTCTAATGTTTATTGTTGCTTTTTGCTTATATTGATATAAATAACATTCCTTGGATTGCCACCATCAAACATTACATAAACCCAAAGGTGGCTTATATACCACCTTTGATCTCATATTTCATATTTTCCTTATAAGCCAATATCTTAATAGCATTGTCATTGTCATTATCATCATTCTTGATAACGTTGTTATTTAGCGATGTACATTGTTTAGTAAAAAATGAAAGAAACAAATCAAAATGAGCTCATTTGACTGATTTGATTCGATTTTAAAAATACCAAATATCAATTATTGGATTCAAATAGATTTTAATCTTCGTTCAACCAAAATCTCAAATAGTAATAGAAAAAGGGAATTAAATTCGCTGGTTTGATTTCAGTAAAAATTTAGTTGGGTCTTGCTCATAATTTGAAAAGTGATCAATCCAAGTCGTCAAATTGTACATCCCTCTATCTACCATTGTCACTAATAACTACGAATCACTAGTTCATAAATTTCCACTCATATCATTGGGCTATCACCATAACTCTCTCATCATTTTTTAGGGGCATTTACATACATACCCCACAATCCCTATATATTTACAAATGTAACAACTAAACTTTACTTTTTTACACTTACACCATACAAATCTTTCATATCACATAATAAATATCACTATTTTAACTTTTCAAAAGTCAAGCACACCTTCTTATGCATAGATAAAATGATGTATACAAAATTGAAGTTTAGTCATTTTAGTTATTAGATATGTAAATACATAAGAATTGAGGGGTATTTATGTAAACACATCTTCCCTCTTTCAAAATCTTTATCAACTTGATGCTGCCATAATCTTCCCCCAAGATAATCTCAGCCACCATTCTCCAAGGAAACCATGATAACGTTCCAATATAAATAATAATATTTTTTATTCATATTTCATATCAAAATTTACTAAAATCATTGGAGAAATTTAGGAGAATATCTAACATTTAAACTTTACCTTTTA